ATAGTTTAAGAATCTTACTTTAATGAATTAACTAAATGAATTAATGTGTTAATGCACTAATGAATTAATTAATGAACTTTAATTGACCTTAAAGTTTTGCCTTCTAGTCAATGCTAAAAAAAAAAAAAAAAGCCAACACATCCATCCCTGTGAGGAAGGACCCTTTTGTTTGGAGCCTCTGGAGTAAAGGAAAACAAAGGCCACGGAAAGGGAAACCTTGATGGATGTTTATCCTCTGGATGCTCTCATCTCCCCAAGCCTGGCCACTGCACACACTTTTCAGAACAACTCCCTGAACCTTTTCTCTCATGTGTTACTGCTACAGAGACTTAAAACCCTCTTTATGAGGTGAGAGGACATAAATACAATGAAATTATTTATTCTGAGGCACAGCCATCTGGCTTGTGTTTGAAGAAACGCAGCTCCTTCCCTTATGAAAAAGGGGCTCAAAGAAGAGCTTATTTAACTCTCCCTGAGGGACTTCTCTCCTTTGGATGATAAGGAAGGGGTCCGACTTATCCAGCCTGGACCGAGGGAAAGGGAAGAAGCCCACTGCATCGAGAGGAGCGAGGAGCCCTCCCTCTCAAGGCCCTCTGCCTCACCTCAGTGTCCTCTCGCCCCACCCACCCTGCTCCTCCCACCTCTGCCCCTTCTTCTTCCACTTTCTCCCTCTGTTCTCTTCCTCCTCCCAGCCAGCCTGCCAGGTGGGAGAGGATATTTGATAGCCTTCACCTACACCCTGAGCAAAGCCAAACCCTGAACTCAAGAAAACCAAGACAAAAGGAATTAACATTGACTTAGTGCGCACTTTAACCTTCCCCAGCAATGTATTTCATTCATCCAAACCCCAAACTATAGTTGATGAGGAAAAATGAGAAACAATTCAAGATCACAGTTCGGTGGACTTATAGAAAGGGAAAATCTCTTTCTTACATATTAAATACGTATTCAATGTTCAGGAGGGACTTCCAGGCAAGATGGCGGTGTAGGCAGATACGGCTTGCCTCTTTGCACAACAACTACCAAATTACAACTAAAATATAGAACGACCATCACTGAGAACCAACAGAAATCAAGTTAAAGTCTGACAACTATGGAATTAAAGAAACCACATCCATCCAAACTGATAGGAAGGGTGCAGATACAGAGCAGGCTGGTCCTACATCCACGTGTGGTGGATAAAAATTCCGGAGGCCTATCTCAGGAGCAAGGACCCCCAGCCCAGGGTTCCAGTGCCAGGAAGATATGTCCCCATACCTTCTGGCTACAAAAACCAGCAGGGATGGAGTCAGTGGAAGAAACTTCTAGAGCCCCAAGCAGTTCTTAAAAAACCCACACAAGGACTCATCTACTCAGACTCACCCCCTCTAGGTTTCAGTGACAGGGCAGAAGCTTGAGGCACCAGTGGCATGCAGGGGGAGGCTGAGGTGTCTGGCATCAAGGCGAGCAAAGGGCACTGTCCCTTTCGGGGCTCTTCCCCCACAGAGCCAGCAGGCTGGTGCTATATCTAAGATTCCATCAACGTGGCTACTACTGACCAACCTTGGAGATCCCTCGGAGACTCCACCCCACCCAATTTACAGTCCCACCCAAGCTAGTTTTGCATATGAATGGTCTTGGCTCTTGCTTCACAACTTCCTAAATCCTCTAAGCAAGCAGCGGCTGGCCTCAGTGAACCCCAGGCCTGGAACTAGCAGCCTAGATTCACAGCTTGGCTTTGTCTGGAATATGCCCAGCACAAGTAGCAGCCATCTCAGATTGCTTTATAGCTCAGGAAGGGTGGCCCTGGGCAAAACACAGGTGGGGACTGATCCTGGCCTGCACCACCCAGGAAACCCCAGGGGCTATCTTACACAGTGGACAGTTACAGACAATGTTGGCACATCACCACACTGCCCCTGCACAGCTGATCCTCCACAGATGGTGGAGGTTGGTGGTAAGTGGTCACAACCAGTCCTTGCAGCTGATGGCCCAGGTAAATCCCTTCCATTGATCTGCCAACAGCAACCAAAGCGCAATTACGAGAGGAGGGTGTACTCAGCCCACATGAAAGGTATACCTCAAGTACCGAGCTTGGGTGATAGGGGAGGCTGTGCCACTGGACCCTACAGGACACCTACTACATTAGGCCACATTACCAAGACATGGAGTCAAAGCAGCTGTACCTAATACATAGAAACAAACACAGGGAGCTGCCAAAACAAGGAGACAAAGAAACATGGCCCAAATGAAAAAACAGATCAAAACTCCAGAAAAAAGAGCTAAATGAAATGGAGATAAGCAATCTGTCAGATGCAGAGTTTAAAACACTGTTTATAAGGATGCTCAAGTAATTTAGTAAGGACTTTAACAACATTGAAAAGATCCAATTAGAAATGAAGGATACAGTAATTGAAATAAAGAACAATTTACAGGGAAACAACAGTAGAGTGGATGAAACCAAGAATCAAATCAATGATTTAGAACATAAGGTAGCAAAAAACAACCAATCAGAACAACAATAAGAAAAGAGAGTCCAAAAAAATCAAGGATAATGTAAGCAGCCTTTGGACAACTTTAAGCAATCCAACATTTGCTTCATGGGGCGCCGGAAGGAGAAGAGAAAGAGCAAGAAATTGGAAATCTATTTTAAACAATAATGAAAGAAATCTTCCTTAATTTGGTGAAGGAAATAGACATGCAAATCCAGGAAGTACAGAAAATCCCAAACAAGATGTGTGCAAAGAGGCCCACCCCAAGACACATCTTAATTAAAATGCCAAAGGTTAAAGATAAAGAAATGGGAGAATGGGTGAGAGGTGAGGGAATTAAGAACTACAAAGAGGTAGTTTCAGCATAGCCATGGCACTATGAAGTACAGCATAGGGAAGGGAGTAGCCAAAGAGCTTACTTGCATGACCTGTGGACATGAATAAGAGTGGTGGGGTCGCCTGAGGGAGTGGCGGGCGGGGATCAGGACAACTGTCATAACATAATCAATAAAATATAATTTAGAAAAGCAAGACAGTGTCATGCAGAGAACTGAAGGTCTGATGTCACAGAGCCCCAGCTGCACTTTACAATTCATTTCTAGGAGTGCGTCCTGTCCCTGTGCATTCCTGAATGCTAGGGATGGCGTCTAACCTTAGCACATTTCCCTGCACCTTTGTTGCACCTGCTTGGAGTTCTGAACTGTGGTAGAGAAGCTCTGTAAGTCATCTTTGTTTAGTTTCAGATCAAAGTCCCTCAATTCAAGTTGGTGAAATGAAGAGAGAAGAAGCAACACGAAAAAACTTGAAAACAGAGAAAAAAAACACAGCTCAATTCCTTATAAAAAGCTTCATGAGTCCAGGACAAAGTTACTTCAAACAAAGTTACAAACATCCATGATTCAAGGAGGCATTTAATGAATAGCAAAAACACTCATTTACATGGTAACCATTAGTATTTTTTAGTAATCTAACATCATCCTCAGATTTTTCAAGGGCCCAATGTGTCTTATATAGTGAAATTTCTTTATTAAGAACTGTGTCTGATAACATTGGTACTCATTTCTCAAAAGAGCTTGCTCAATATTACCAATACTTGCTACAGACCTATGTCAGAGGAGACAAGTACCTTCAGACATTCTGATTGCAAGGTTTCAGCCCTTCCTCCCAAAGTCCAGTGTCTCGACACCTGTGCTAGGGTGATGTCTCCATAGAGGTTGCAAACACTACTGCAAACTAGCTGGTCAGTCGCAGTTCTTAGCAGGCTCCGTGAGCCCAGATCCTCCAACATTCTTTAAGGAAAGTAGAATGGAGAAACAACCACATTTTTAAGTTTTAGAAGCACAGACTGTAAAAAAGTAATAATAATAAAGAAAATCAAACTGAGCCCCCGAAAACCGGTTTTCTGCCCAGATTCCTCCCTCCGGTTGCAGCTTCAGCTTCTGTTCTGATGTCCTTTGAGGACTGGTGTTCAAGATATGCCTTCTTGATGAGATCCTGAGAACTGTGGTGAAGAAATTCAGGAGGAAAGTCACTGGGTCCTTCTGCCTCACTGTCAGTGCAGGTACGTCATGGAGGTAAGCAGCATCTGATCTTATTCAGTCATCTCCTTATTTGACAATCACTCATTATGCGGATGTTTCCACTGGTTCTCAAGGATAGGAGAGTTTGCAGTAGCTCCTCTAAAACACGTCTTTACTCTCTAGTAGCCATCCACTGCATGTCTTCTGCTTTATGATCATTAAAACCTTCTGTAAAACACACACCAGTTCTTAGGGTTTGGCTCTGACACCTCTAACAGGGGCTATGAAATCTTCAAGAAGACAGAGGCACTAAGACAAGGCACACATTTAAAATGGGGTCAGCGGATGGTTGCATTTTCAACAATAGGAAGAGAGGGCTCCTCCGTTAAAAGTCTACCTAAATCAGTTCACATCTTTCATATTAACTAAGGAAAAGAAAGACGTGACTGAATTTTCATTGGGCAGAATATTTGCTCTGGGGCTGTGCAGCTTCAGAATTTAAGTCTCTGCTAAGTGTGTATGGGTATAGAATATGTATCTTTCATTAATTCTATAAACAGTTCCCTCAATCCAAAACTTTCTCGACTACAGAGCCCTATTGCATTGAGACAGAGCAGGTATAAAGCCACATGCACTTGGATCACACACCAAATAAAATATGTAGGGAGGCTGTGCACTTTCTAGGAGGAATAGAGAAAAATCACGATGGCAGAGGAGTGAGTGGAAGTCACACTGACCTTCTCGGAGGAATAGCTAAGGGCCTTGCTGAAGCTTTAACAGGAGATCAGGATAGAGGCCCCTGGGAGTGTGAGAGAACACAGTGAGTGGGCACCACGCAGACGTCTCTCCAGGCCAGCCGGGGGACGGCAGAAGGCCAACTATTACACATGTCATATATATATGAGTGATTATATCATATATATGTGAACTTTAAAGGTTACAGGTTAAAGCAGCTTGGTGATTTTCAACAGCATTGTGAGCGCTTTGTTTCTTTTTTTATTTGGTTTCTTCAAAAGATAAATGGAATGAGGGCTTTCCGAAATTTGGGGTAGTCCTTAAATATTTTGAGGTAGAACCTGAAAGATAAGAAACAAATAATTATAAATATAAACAAGCAGTGGTCAACAGTTGGGGTTTGCTGTGTCTGAAATTCTTATTGTAAGTCAACCTACACTTATTCAGGGTCTGACACTTCCCAATGGCCATTTGTCCATCCTTTTTCTCCCTCCTGCACCCTACTCTTATGAATGTTAGAGCTTTGTGTGTTGGGAAATATAAATAACCAGAGGGTAGCTGTGATGGTTGCACAAGATTATGAACGTACCTAATATCACTGAATTGTACACTGAAAATGGTCAATTTTGTCATGTATATTTTACCAAAATTAAAAAAAAAAAAAATGTAATAGCCAGAAAGAAGCACTCCATGAATTCAAAAGAGAAATGCAGGAAACCAGAGACCCCAAAGGCTATGGACAAGGTTAACCCTAAAAAAACTGTCCCCAGGGAAATATCCCTTCATAAGGCCTGGGATGCCGAGAACATGGGACCTTGTGTTATGGGTTGAACTATGTTCCCACAAAATATATGCCAAAGTCCTAACCCCCAGTATGTGAGATTGTGACCTTGTTTTGGAAATAGGGCCACTGAAGATATATAGGATAGGGACTCAGTTTGGATTTCGTTGTTGCACCAGCTGCTGTCCCTCCTGCGACCAAGCCCAACTGAGTACTTACTTCTCAGCGCCCTTCCCTCTAATGGCTGGCTGATGCCCTCCCCGCAACTCACTCTCAGCCTCTGAGAGGGGCAGGGTGCAACAACCCTGTCTCAGAGTGGGGGAAGTGCTACCAGGACTCTCTTACGGGCTGGGGGCCCTCTGCTGCCCTCCACTCCCCACCGCCCCCAAGTCTAGGAGGCAGTGAGAACAGTCTTGAGGAGAGCTACTGTTTCACTCATTTCTGGCAGGGCTCTGCATAAATTCCATTCTGGGGAAAAGAACCCATTCTTAGCGTAACCTTCAAGACTATGCAATTAATCAGCAGCTGGACTAAAATACCTATGCAGGAGCTTAAGGTGGGTCCTGATTCCAAGTCCATTTCCCTTCCCTCTGAATTCGTTCTCTCTCCCTTCCTCCCCCACCCATCCTCCCTCTTCCTCCCTTCCCCACTGTCCCCAATAATCATAGGCATTCTCTTTCCTCCAACTACAAAAGCCATTTTAGAAAAAGGATCTGAAATTCACATTAAAACCTGACAACTTAGCATGTTACCCTTTCCCCACCAGTGATACTTTTAGTTAACTCTTGTCCCCATCCCATCCCAGGTGCAGGGGCTGGGAGGTAGGTGGGAGTTAGGAAAGCTTTAGGCTAGACCTACCGAGGAAAGGTTCTAAACCCCAGCAATCACACGGTGGCATCCCAAGTCACCTGGAGGGCCTTTGTCTACCCGGGTTCATTTTTGCTCATAGAAAAACAGTTGTTTACCGCTCTTGTCATCCAACTGAATTCCCATTTCAGTGAAAGCCCAAGTCAGAATTCACCAGTACAGATTACAATGAAATAAATGTCTTAGAGTCCTACATCTGACTCAGTGCCCTAAAAGCCTGTTTGCAGTGGAAAGCTATCTGGATACTGCCACCTTGATTGAAAAGTTTACCTATGGTGGTGAAAAGCTCGCAGCCCAAGGAAACAAAGTGAGAAAAATGCAAATGCAAGCGCTGGGAGGGACCAGGTGGCCAGGGCAAAGCCGATCCATTCGATGATCTCACCAAGGAAATTGGCTCCTGAGACGTATGTGAACAAGCCACCTGCGTGCACAGGAATCAAAAGTCAATCATCAGAATTGGATCACGGTGACATTAAAACTCCTCTGCTTTGTTCCAAAATACATAAGGGTGTGTGTACGTATGTGTGTGTGTATATATATACATAAACATATTTCTATATGGCTAATGTGGGCTGGAAACTCTTCCCAGTCATCACAGTTTAGTAGATTCCACTTGGGGACAAAGGAAAACAAAGCAACGGCAGCCTGTTGACCTCAGAATATCCTGGAACCATGAGGAATGGCCCCAACTCCTTGACGGGCTCCGTCCAGATCTCTAACAACTGTGGAACCCCTGGCTCTCGACAGGTCACAGGTGAGGGGCAGGAGGCCTAGGTTTTGCATCATTCTATTAGGTAACATTCCCAGGCCGCCTCTCACCTTTTCCCTCTTTCCTGGAGATGCATAGTTCATGTTCGCAATCACGTGGTAACACAACAAACTAGGTGAAAGCAATAATATTGATATGAGAAGTAATTTGATTCTCCTTTGGCATTTGCCCTCCCAAAGCAGCACACTCTGTTGCCGTTTAAAGGAGGGCGTGGCAGCAGCAGGTTTTTGACCTCCCGGAGCCTGGTGAGATCTGCTGTGATTGATTTTTCTAAGGTTTACTTTCTATGTAGCCTTGTATTCTGATATCAGAACTCTCTCAGAAATCACCATATTTCTAATCATAGTCAGTGTATCTGCACCTGGAGTTTCTGTCCCATGCCAAACTGGTACAATGTCACCTAAAACAATTATTTTTCTTTCCCTAGTTATCTAAAGAATATTTTGTTTTTAAAATCATTCTCTAATATAACTCAATAGTTGGCAACTAACCCTGGCAATCTAGCTTTTAGGAGCTTTCTCTGCTCTTCTTTGTCTAGTTACTGAGTAAAGATTTATACACGGAAAACCTCAAGAGTTACCTTCCTTAAGGGTGACGTTGCATCAGCGGTTTCCAAGTGGTGCTTCCCCCCTCCCTAAGAGGAACCACCGACCTATTGAAAGGAGTCTATGAATTGTCTATAAATATGGCAAATGATACATCTCAACCTATGGTACTCTTTTTGTTTGATGTAGGTACTATTAGGATGTTAGCAATGCTTAATTAAATTCATTTAAATGTGCTATTGAATTCATAGTAGCTTTGTCATTATTTTCTATTCAATGAATACTAATCTGCACTAACACCATGTCATAATTCATAAAAAAAATTCTAGAGAGAGGGTTATGGAGAGAGAAAGAGAGGGAGAGAAATATTGATGTGACAGAGAAACATTGATGATTTGCCTCTCATATGCGCCCTGACAGGGGACCAAACCCACAACCCAAGCATGTGCCCTGCCAGGGAACTGAACTGGCAACCTTTCACTTTGCAGAGTGATGCCCACCCAACTGAGCCATGCCAGCCAGGGCCAGGAAAATGTTTAATGTAAATAGTTCAATTTACATAAAAAATGACAGGAATACATACCTAAAGATATTGTAGGATTACTGTACGGATTCACGCCCACCTGCTTATATTTGTTAGCTAAGACCCTGGTTTCTTGGGAGCAGATAGGATTTATCTCTGAAAATGCACTTTTAAGACATCCATCCCAATTTTTGATTAAATAAACATGGTTCTTTATACCTTTGAGAATATAATACAAGTGGCAGGAAATGTGCAAGTGTTACCCCTGACTACTCATTGGATAAATCTAACGAGACTTACTGGAGAGGACAAATGTGCTAATCACGCATGATTCAGCTCTAGGTGCTAACTTAGGAAATACCAACACTCTTTTCAAACATGAGGGTTAATTTTTGTGTCACTTGAATGGGCCATGGAATGCCCAAATATTTGGTAAAACAATATATCTGGGTGTGCCCATGAGGGTATTTCTGGATGAGATGAATATTTGAATTGATAGGCTAAGTAAAGCAAATTGCCGCCCCCTCCCGCCCCCGCCCCGCAAGCTGGGTGGGCCTCATAGAAAACGGCAAAGTAAGGAAGAATTCATTCTCCCTGCCTGTCTTCGAGTTGGGACATCGGTCTCCTGCACTCTGACTGGAACTTATACCATCTGCTCTCCTGGGTCTCCAGCTCACACATGGCAGATCATGGGACTTCTCGGCCTCCATAATCATGTAAGCCAATTCCTTGTAATAAACAATATATATCTATATTTATATCTATATCTTATTGGTTCTGTTTCTCTTAAGAACTCTAATATAGCACATGGTAATCTCACCAATTTCAAAGAGGTCACAGTCTACTTGCACCTCACACTCCCCCTCCCCCATCTTCGTGGCATTGTAATCTTGTGTCTTCTGAGAACTCTTGTACCTCTCTTGAGCTTCGGGGTTCAGATCAGAAACACAAATGTATTGTGGGGTGGGATGGGATATGGAGGAGAAGTCCCTGGATAGTCCCCAAATTGTGTCATTTGCACCCTCACTGCACCCTGTTCCTTTGTTACAGCATAATCCCTAGGACAGGCTCCTGAGGGAGGGTGGGAACCTGGAGGGCAGGGGAGGCATTACCTTGTGGAATCTTATAGACGATTTCTCCAGGCTTCCGGAGCTGGCGCAATATATAGTCACTATGAATGTTGATTCCCATTCCCAAAATAAATAAGAAGACACCTAAGCAAAAAAGAGAGAAGAAAGTGAAAAAATACATCCTGATTTTGATGTTTTTCTTACAAGCTAAGTTTTGGGGGTTTTTTTTTTTTCCCTAAAAATGAAGGAAAGAACATTTAATTTCAAATTCTAAGAATGGTGCTAAGATACAACCAAAAAAAAAAAAAATGTGGGGGAAGGAGCTGTCTCCACATGCACACACACAGATCTTGTTTTTGTTTGTTTTCCTTTGTTTTTGTTGCTTTAGGTTAGGACATTGTGCACATACATGTACTAGCATGCATACAACTAATCCTCTAGTTGTACATGTTTTTAAATGTCTGCTGTGGCTGCCATGTGGAGGTGTTATCAAAAACCAGTTTAGTTTGAAGGTCACCATAGCAGCTCAGGCAAGAGGTTGTTGTGGCTTGGCCTAGGATGAACTTAGTGCATTTCGGGAGATGAGCCCCACTGGCACATGATTTCCAGCTAGAGGCTGCAGCTCTAGGCTGGTGGCTAGAATATGATATGTGCCGTAAATAGAGGAATTGAGGAAAATCCCAAGATTCTGAGTCTGAGCCAAAAAATATACCAACAAGTTGAACCTTCCTGGACTTGAGTTCCTCTTGCAGATAACGAAACAAATTCAATGATCATCTTTTTCTACGATTTTAGATAGGCGGTCAGGAAAAGTTTATGAGAGGAGGTGTGAATTGATAAAGACCTAAATAAAGTGAGGGACAAAGTTTCAGAACTATATAAGGTCAGAGCAGTCTAGGCAGAGGGAGTGGTCTGCACAAAAAAAGCTCTGGAGCAGGGCAAGCCTGGTCACTTAAGGCTCCGCAGGAAGCCGCTGAGGCTAAGGCAGAGTCAATGAGACGGAGGAGACAGGAAATGCAGTCGAGAAACTGGGCTGAGGCAAGGACAGATAGGCTCCCACGTAGAGTTTCATAGGCAGTGATAAGGAATTTGCATTTTATCCTGAAATCTCATTGGAGATTCCTGAAACAAGGAATGGCACGATGTTTTTCAGAGCTTTCTCAGGCTGCTCTATAGAGAAAAGGCTGGGGAGGAGGTGCGTGAAGAGGGAATGGGATCACTGAGAGGTTACTGTAATAGGGCGGGCGAGCTTTCGGCTGTGGGGAGCAGTGCTGGGGGAAAAGCGGCCGGGTTTACTCACCCAAGATAAAGCGTATGTCTGTGTACCACTCAAGAGGGTATTCGGTGCAGTGAGTCAGATAGTAGCCTTGCAGGAGTCCATTTCCCATGCAGAAGACAGAGCCTTTGAAAACTAAGGCAGTTGGAAAAGGCCTCCCTCTATTGAGGAATGAGTAAACAAATGTCCTAGGATACACAGGGGAGAAAGGTCAGGTTCCATTGTTAAAATATATATATATCTATATATATCTCAATGAGATATATATAGATATATATATCTCAATGAGAGGCAAAGGTTTAAAAACAGATAATCACATCAAATGCTTTTCTAAAAAACATTTTCCCTGAAATTTGTGCAATGAATGAACATCATCCTGCTCTAAAACAAGCATTTATATTTGTCTTATTTCACTAAAATCCATTGTAGTCACCATTTGTTATCTTATTTTAGTCTTAGAACAGTCTTGAAAAGTAAATGTCATGACCATCCAGTAATTAGTAAATTCAATCCTAGGAGCCCAGAACTGGATGCTGCTGCTTCCTATAAAGCAGCACAATCCAGATTATACGGGAAGAAATGTAAAGCCTGGTATTCCCCATCTGCCAGGGGCATGGCATTTTGAAAGCAGCCACTTGACCATATGCCTTTCCACAATGCCTCTCTTGTATGATTTAATTACTAATGTTGTAGCATTCCCTATAAAGTGGCTGCAGAATCTCTTGAGAAAGTAGAAATTTTTCTAAATGGTAGAAAGTATGAATCTAGAGGAATCTAGGAAGAAGGGCTTAAAAATATAAATAGCCTTGAAACAAAATATCGCCCAAGGTATGGGCTGAAGTCTATAACTCTAATTACACTCTCTTTATATAAAATTTTTCTTCTTTATGGTGCAATATAACAGAAAAGTACATAAGCCTACATGAATAGTTTAATGAATAACTATCAAACAAAGACCCAAACAGTCACTCAGTCAAGAAATAGAACACTGGCATTACCCAGGAAGCCGCCTCTGGGTCCGTCTCTGTTTGCTGCACCACCACTCCAGGTAACTATCATCCTGACTTTTATAACAATCATTTATTTTTTGCCTCTGTGTAATTTTATCATATTTGTATGCATCCCTAAAAACAAGTTTATTTTACATATTCTTAATTCCATATGAAATGAACCACACTCTGATTCTTAACATATTTTTTATTTATTTATTTATTTATTTATTTATTTATAGAGAGGGTAAGGGAGGAAGAATGAGAGGGAAACATCAATGTGTGGTTGCCTCTTGCACGCCCCCTACTGGGGACCTGGCCTGCAACCCAGGCATGTGCCCTGACTGGGAATCAAACTGGCGACCCTTTGGCTCACAGGCCAGCACTCGATCCACTGAGCCATACTAGCCAGGGCTCTTAACGTATTCTTTAATATCTTATTTCTTTGACTCATCATTATGTTTCTGAGACTCAATAACACATATTGTTGTGTATAGTTATACTTCACTTATTTTCATTGTTACATATCATTCTCATGTAAGAATATACCATATGTGTTTATCTGTTTTACTTTGATGGATATTTGGGTTGTTTCTAGAGTGTACCAACTCATACATAATTTTGTTATAATTCCCAAATTTTCCCATTATTTTAATGATCTTCTTATGTTTAAACTTTTGATACATCTGGAACTTATTTTGTTGTATTAAGTTGAATAAGAATCCAACTTATTTTTTCCTAATGCTAGTAAATTTACTACATATCTTTCTCAGTGATAGGCATTGCCATTGGTATTATACACTAAATGATCATACGTATATATTGGTTCTTCTTCTAAACTCTTGATTCTTTTCCATTGAACTTCTATTGCCAAAACTATACTGTTTTAATAATTGTACTTTCAATTATGTCTTAATACTGGGTGGGGCTATTCTTACATCATCATACTTTTTGAGGATTTTTCAATTTATTGACTGTTTATTTGTTCATAAAAAATTAAAACCAAATTGTGAAACACTCTCTCCCAAATTTTAGAATTATTCTTAAATTTAAAAGTTAGTTAAGAGAACAAAATGGCAGAAAGATAACCTCCAAGAGTTCACCCCTCCTAAAAGCAAAGAAAAAACTGGCAGAACTATATTCAGAACCCTGGATATTAAACAAAAGCTTGCAGCAATCTGTGGGGGGGATATTCGTGGGCAAAAAAAAAATGGCTGAATCTCAGTAAGGGCAACAAGTCTTGTGGCATTTTAAACTCACCCTGTCCCATATCTCACTTTCCTGCTTTTTGCAGCCTTAAAAAGCAATGGCCCACGTTCCCAGAACCGAGGGGGATCGAAACAGGACTGGAACCTTTTCAAAGCTTCATTGCCAAAGAGAAACCATTCTTTTACCTGCCTGGAGGTTTCCCAGAAGGCTCCACTCAGAAGGTTTGTCCTTGTTCCACCTCAAACTTACCCAGTGCACAAAGATTTCTTATATCTTACCAGCAAAGTGGCCTGAGACAATGGATAACAGGGGAGGCACGCTATAGAATAATCAAAACGTTTAAAAGGAAAGGCTGAGGAATGAGCTACCCATAGAAGCTTTGAAAAGCTCAGATATATTGCTGGTAATCTAGACAGCCACACATATGCATAGGGCGATGAACATACTCAAAAAGGACCTGAAAAAGGACTAGGCCCCTTACTCTGGTTGACCTTGAGGTCCGCATAAGTAGCAACTGAGGCTACAACACGGTTGTAAACTACAAGGTGGTTACTGAAGGAGTTCCCTAACGTGCATGTGGAGGCTCTCAGCAAAGACAGGGAGATTTATGGGTGCCAGGCACTTCAGGAAATCTTTGTCTAGTCATTAACTGATCATTAAGCTGTTGTTCAGAAGCCACAACAACAGAGAAAGAGACTTCACAGAACGAGTTCAGAGAAGTCATTAAGCAAACAACTACCGCAACAGGCAGCAACAACAAACCCTAAGAAGTGAGGAGAATATGATTCCCAACATTGCCACGTAGTATTATTTGAAATACTTAGCTTTCAACAAATACGGGACATGCAAAGAAACAGGACCATATGACATATATTGGAAAAAAGCTATCAATAGACACTGTCCCTGAGAAGCCTAGACAATTGGACTGACTAGACAAAAAAACCTTACATTAACTAGTTTAAATATGTTCAAAGAGCTAAAGGAAACCATGTCTAAGGAACCAAAGGAAAGAATAAGAATGGTGTCTCAACACATAGAGAACATCAATGAAGAGACAGAAATTATAAAAAGGAACTATCAGAGGCTAGCATCACTGAACCACTTTAAAACAGAGCTGGGCAGCCGCTTCAGAGGAACAGCTTGCACATCTTACTCCTCAACCCTTCAGAATATTTGAACTGGGCAAAATAACCTTCGCACTGGGCAAAGCCAACATAGTATTTCTACCATGGCAAATGCTTTTTTATATATGTAAATCAATTGCAAAACTAACAGGAGAGTTACTGACTACTCAACTGGAAATTAAAGACATTGTTTAGAATTAGCATTATCACATACAAGTAAAGGATAACCTAGCTTATTTGCAGCTATAGAAATTCCTTCTTTGACTTATTAACCCCAATAGAAATTCCTTCCTTCTATGCATGTAATTACACCCCTTCCCTTCCTCATAAAAAACCTTGCCTCATGCACTAAGCAGGATATTATTTGGGTTTCTGCCTGAATCAGTACTTCCCAGAGCTATTCTTTGGATCTCGACTAAACACTTGTTGCTTCTCACTGTGGCTTTTTACTTTTTGGTTAACAGAACCAAGTTGAAATCTGGAGTTGAAAAGTACAATTGAAATGAAAAATTTACTGGAGGTACTTCCTCAAAAGTTAAGGAGAGATGGTTGCCAGAGAGGAGAGGGGTTAGGGGACTGGGTGGAAAAGGCGAAGGGATTAAGAAGTACAAACAGCAGTTACAAAATAGTTACAGGGATGTAAAGTACAGCTTAGGGAATGCAGTCCCTAACAATGTCATAACTGTGTGTGGTGCCAGGTGGGTGCAGGAGATATCGGGGGGACAGTTTGTAAAGTATATTGTTGTTTAAACAATGTGCTGCACATGTGAAACTAATACAAAATAATATTGAATGTGAACTGTAATTGAAGAATAAAATGTTTTAAATATTAAGGAGAGAACAATATGCATATATTGGACTTTATCAAAATTAAAAACTTTTGTGCAATGAAGAACATTATCAAGAAAGCAAATAGACAATCTACAGAATGATAGTAAATGTTTACAAATCATTTGTGATAACAATTTAATATTCAGATATATAAAGAATTCCTACCACTCAACAACAAAGAAACAAACAACCCAATTAAAAGAGCCATGGACTTAAGGAGATATTACTCCAAACAGAGAGAAATAAATATCCAATAAGCCCACGAAAAGATGCTCAGTATCATTAGGGTAATGTCAATCAAAACTACAATGACATACTACTTCAAACCAACTAAACGGCTATAATAAAAACTAAAACAGTATTGGTAAGGATGTGGAAAAATTAGAAGAATCCTTATACATTGCTAACGGGAATGTAAAAAATTTAATTGAGATAAAATTCACATACATAAAATTCTCCCTTTTTGCCCTAGCAGCGTGGTTCAGTTGGTTGGTTGCAGATTGGATTCCTGGGTCAGGGCACATGCCTAGGGTGCGGGTTCAGTCCCCAGTCAGCAGGGAGTGTGGGAGGGGGAACCAGTCCATATTTCTCTCCCTCCCTCTCTCCCTCCTTTACCCTCTCTTTGAAATCAATAAGCATGTCCTGGGATGAGGATAAAAAAAATTCTCCCTGTAAAAGTCATGACACACCAGCAGTAATAAGTACTTGGTAACCAGGTCGTTGTTTGTAAATAATTTTCCCTAAATGAACTGGGCACCACGGAGAAACAGCATGTTTTAGATCCATGGCAGGAAAAGTACAAGGTCAGTCAGTTTGTTGAGTTGGAAAGTAAGAAAACAATTGAAGACTAAAGGGGAGACAGGGGCTGTCAAAATTACACAGATGCCAACTGGAATAAGTCCCACTGCCCAAATTTGTGACACACTGGGTATCAAAAAGGATAATGAGTATAGTTGATTATAAACATCTATAAACTGAGGTTTTATTACTACCTCATTGGGTTTTTGTAAAAATTAAATAAGGTGATGCAATAAA